CGTTCTCATTCTTGGAGCGGAAACGTTGTTTGCAGAGTTCACAACCTGCTACACTTGTGAGAAACAAGTTTTGGTTTATTTCATAACAATTATTTATGACTTGTCCATTTTTTTATTGTCTTTTGTTTGGAGTGCTCCATGTGAGCAATGAGCATGTGTCTGGTTTCTCTGCCTTGTTAATTACATTTACATTTTAGTCATTTAGCAGACGCTCTTATCCAGAGCGACTTACAGGAGCAATTAGGGTTAAGTGCCTTGCTCAAGGGCACATCGACAGATTTTTCACCTAGTCGGCTCGGGGATTAGAACCAGCGACCTTTCGGGTACTGGCACAACGCTCTTAACCACTAAGCTACCTGCCGCCCCTAATGTTGAGGGAGCGTGCGCACCTGAGTATGCATAGAAGTAGCCTACCTGACCTGATGCGTGCATATTTAGGAAAGTGCCCATTTGGGAATGTTTGATTTCTGTTGTCTTAACTCACCACCTCCACCACTAATAAGCTGAGCTTCTCAGTCAATGTTTCTTCACCTCACACAGTAAGTCAACAAAGTCTGTTTTTTTTTACATCCATTGTGAATTATGGCCTAGTAGTTCCTCACAGCAGGCCTAGTTGAAAAATCTTTCCAACAATCTCCACCTCAATAATCACCAAGCCTCTGTGTGAAAGATCAAAATATTATCATCTGATAATCGCATATATCCAGTGGAAACGTCATAAAATACCTGAACAGCTGTCTGTGGGAACTCGGAGGGCCCAGAATAAGCTAGTTGATACAATGTTGCAAGTTCGCTAGAGAACTCAAGTCAAGACAGATAGAAAGGCAGGCAGACAGGCTGAGTAGAGAGATTAATGTGATTGAAAGAACCAGCATTTTCATCAGTAGATTTTCTACTGTTGTTATTTGTCGGCTTTATGTATTTTTAGTTAGTTTACAGTGGAAGTTAAAGGCCAACGGCTGCATTGGCCATCTCGGAGTTCCATGCACTCATTTACACTATTTAGCCGCAAATGATCACAGTGTATCAGTGTCCATATGGCAGAGGCTGGTGCTCTCACATTAGATGCATTTTAAGTTTTATATTTGTATAATTTTAATTACGATTTGTATGATTAACCACGTGACAATGATTTTGAGAAATGAAAAGGTTGTTATTGAAATGAAACTGTTCCACGAAAATGTGCATATGAAAATCATAACTGGCATGCGGATCGGTAGAAATGGTAGGATAAATTGTATGCTCCCCCAAAATTGAAACTCACGCACCTCCAATGAAGTTTTTATAAAATAATTGCCTCCATGTTTCTATGGTCGGATTTTCAAGCAAGGTAAGACATGCCTCATAATATGAAGTAAAACATTCAGGTTTCAAACAATTAAATATGTTTTCAAAATGCACACTGCCTCCAGCTCACATTCTAAAGTGGTGGGTGACGTGCTGATAGCCTGCCTACCGTTGTTTTTTCTGCTGGCCCAGTCAATTTGGCCAGCAACAACTGTATTTATCTGCTTTTCATTTTTTTTATCGGACAAAAGCCGTCAATTACCGGCTAACGGAAACCCTGTCATACACACACTCTCTCTAGACACATCCACAGACACACTCATACACACAGCCCAATCAACATATATGTGGCCCCCTGCCTGTCGTACCATAACTCTCCTCCCAGGCAGGCCACCTCCTCTACTCTCTCCTGGACTGTCCGTCATCTCTGCTCAGCAATTAGGCTGTGATGCTTTATCTCATTTTATTAGATTCCCCATTAGCTGACGCCAATGGCGACATCTAGTCTTACTGTGGTCCGACACATAATGAAAAATACCTTACAGACAACATACTTTACAATTGACATACATTTAAAAACATGAGCATGTAGTGTGTGTGCATCTATCAGTTACACATACATGTCAGTACATACACACAACAAGTAGGTCACATGGGGTAGAGGTGTTTTGCCGTGAGGTGTTGCTTTATTTATGTAACAGCAGCAGGAGAGTTACAGCCTAGCCACCGTATGGCTAATATGCATGTACCTTCCTTATCCCTCTCTTTCCTTTTCTCTCTCTCTCTCTCTCTCTCTCTCTCTCTCTCTCTCTCTCCCGTCCCTCTCTTTCTTTCTCTCCCTCCCTCTCTCCCCTCCCTTCCTCTCTCTCCCCCCCCTCCTTCCCTCCCTCCCTCTCCCAGGCTATAATCTGTGATTAATGGCAGGTGGGGGGATGAGGTGTAATGGGCAGCTCTAAGTGAATGAGCCTGTTAGAGCAGCATGGCTACAGCAGCCAGCGCCCAGGAAATGGAATTAGCTGCCCAGGGTCCTGGGATGGAGACTGGGAGGGAAGTAAACTTAATAAAGGGGTCGAGCCCTGGTCCACCTCACAACTCCCAGCTCCCCTTGGCCCTCTCCCTGGCCTGCCCCCGCTTGGCTTTCATTCCCATCCCTTACCTTGGGATTTGATTAGAGAGATGGAGGGAGGAGTGTCCATCCATGAGGCAGCAGGTTCTTGGGGACTGGGGAGCTGGGGAAAGAAAGTATGATGTGAACGAATCAGCACACTTTAGAAATGTCACTGTGTTAGAGATAATCAGATGAAGTGAGAGCGGGAGTGAGAGGGAGATCCCTACAAACCCTGCAATCTGCATGGCCGCTGTCTGTGAAACATGGAGACTGTCTATCACTCCCCCAGCCAGCGTTCAGTCATGTCAACAGACTAACTGTACTGTGACTGGGAGCTATGGCTATTGTGACTGGCTCTACTGTGAGCTATGGCCCCTGTTTGGGATTTATTAGAGCTACACCACAAATAAATGCCTTTCTCCTCTGCTCACTGTAGGAAGTGAAGGATGTCACTGTCACAAACAGTATTTTACCCTTTAATGGTTGGTTCTGAAGGGCTTGGAATGGCATAGCCATATCAGCAGGCTGGTCTATGTAATGTACAGTAATAATGGGCTGTTAGTGTGGACTGTGGACCCAGGTGGCGTCACAAATGGCACCCTATTCCCTATATAATGCAGTACTTTTGCACTATATAGGGAATAGGGTAGTGCACCTAATAGGGAATAGGGTTCCATTTGGGACGCAGCCTCACTCTGAATTTATTTTGTCAGTGGATGGTTCCGGAAATGAAATGGGAAAGAAAACCATGTACCACAGCAGATTATAGGTCCCAGTCTTCTTGGTAAATCTCATATTTCTCAAGACACAGGTTTAATTTGTTTTCCCATTTTTCTGTGATTTGTAAATGTTTACTTCACTTAAGCTTGTCCTAGCATAGCTGCAAAACAAATGCCAAAGTACATAAAATATACTGAACGGAAATATGAATGCAACATGTAAGGTGTTGGTCCCATTTTTCATGAGCTGAAATAAAAAATCCCAGAAATGTTCCATATGCACAAAAAGCTTATTTCTCTCAAATTATGTGCACACATTTGTTTACATCCCTATTAGTGATAATCTCTCCTTTGCCAAGATAATCCATCCACCTGACAGGTGTGGCATATCAAGAAACTGTTTAAATAGCATGATCATTACACAGGTGCACCTTGTGCTGGGTACAATGAAAGCTCACTCTTAAATGTGCAGTTTCGTCACACAACACCATGCCACAGATGTCTACATTTTGAGGGAGCGCGCATGCTGACTGCAGGAATGTCCACCAGAGCTATTGCCAGAGAATTGACAGTACGTCTAACCGGCCTCACAGCCGCAGACCATGTGTAACCACGCCAGCCCAGGACCTCCACATCCGACTTCTTCACCTGCGGGATCATCTGAGACCAGCCACCCGGACAGCTGATGAAACTGAGGAGTATTTCTGTCTGTAGTAAAGCCCTTTTTGTAGGGGGGAAAAACTAATTCTGATTGGCTGGGCCTGGCTCCCAAGTGGGTGGGCCTATGCCCTCCCAGGTCCACCCATGGCTGTGCCCCTGCCCTGTTGTGAAATCCATAGGATTAGGGCCTAATGAATGTATTTCAATTGACTGATTTCCTTACATGAACTGTAACTCAGTAAAACCTTTGAAATTGTTGCATGTTGTGTTTATATTTTTGTTCTGTATATATTGCCCACAGTAAGTCTCTCTCTCTCTATCTCTCTCTGTTCATTTAATTAAAATAAATGTACAGTAGCAGTTGATTGCATTGTGCCTGCTAATGTTGACTACTTCCAAAGATGGTGGATTGTTCCAGTGAGGGCTGTAGACTATCGTTGGCTGCTGTTGGCTGCTTGTTGCTCGCCTGCTTGCTGTCACTAATTATCCATGGTTACTATAGTTGGTTAAACACTGTGCCTGCCAATGTTGACTACCAGTGATGGAGGGCTGTTAACTGTCATTGGCTACTTTTGGTGTGTTTACTGCTGGTTGTCAGAGCCAATTGGGTGATGCTAATGGGCCAGTGTTGGAGGTAATCAACCCAGCAGCCTCTCAGGCAGTTCAGTCTCACAGTGCCAGTCAGTCAGTCAGTCGCCATCCGTCTCCTCTCCTGTTGTTCATGCCTGAGTGCCACAGTAACACGCCACTGAAAAAATGAACCTCTAGAAATACGACATGGTTGTTCCCTTAACGACACAGCGCTCAGTTCTGCCTATCAGGCAAGCTATGGTCCATGTTACCAGAGTGCTAAGGCCTTCTGTTCCTCATGGCCTTGCGGTGTTTAGGTAATGGAGTATGGAGGCCATTTTCAGCTGTAAGTACTCTACAGATGTACTTATTGTTGTTGGAGGGAGGTAGTGGTTTTAACCCCACGAGAGGGACTAAAGGTATTTTTAGATTTGTGCAGTGCAGTCAGCATGATCTGAAAGCGGAAATATTGACCGGGTGGAAACTGTGTGTATAGAAGATTTAGCTAAACGGTGTAGCTCCTAGCTGTTATTGTTGTCTGAGTAAGAAATAATCCCGGTGCCGAGGGAGCCCATACTATCTGACCCCAGATGAAACAATGTTCTTATTATTCCTCCCCACACTAGGCCTTGTCTGGGGGAGGGATGTAGAGGGGGATGAGGGATGGAGAGGGGGAGGAGGGGATGGAGAGGGGAATGAGGGAGGAGGGAGTGAGAGGGGATGAGGGAGGAGGGAGTGAGAGGGGGGGAGGAGTGAGGGAGGGGGAGGAGGGGAGTGAGGTGGGGGATGAGGGAGTGAGGGGGAGGGAGAGGGGGAGGAGGGAGGGGAGGGGGAGGAGGGAGGGAGGGGGAGGAGGGAGGGAGGGGGAGGAGGGAAGGAGGGAGGGAGGGGGAGGAGGAGGGAGGGAGGGACAGGGAGGAGGGGCCAGGGAGGAGGGAAGAGAGAGTGAGGATGAGAGGGAGGAGGGAGGTGAGTAGGGATGAGGGAGGATGGGCTATACCCAGGGATGAGGGAGGAGGGCAGTGAGGGGAAGAGGGAGGAGGGAGTGAGGGGGAAGAGGGAGGAGGGAGTGAGAGGGGTGAGGGAGTAAGGAGTGAGAGGGATGAGGGAGGAGGGAGTGAGAGGGATGAGGGAGGAGGGAGTGAGAGGATGAGGGAGGAGGGGGACTACAGTGAAGGTAATTAAAACAAAGACCCTGTGTGTGTAGGGCATGTGTATGTGGACTTTGAAGTCATTCTATAATATTTAGTTTTCCACAAACTGAAAGGTCTTGCCCCGATGCATATTTTTGTTAATCCCTCCTGATTCTCTCTTTATTGCAATTGTTGCCAGGCTCCATGCAGGCTGTACTTCTAAACCTCTCCTCACCGTGTGTGTGTGTGTGTGTCCTCGCCTCCCTCCCTCTCTCTGAGATTACAGAAAGCGCAAGCCCAATGATTGAATTATAATCAGTGTGAGACACAGCAGTCTATCTCCTCACTGTGTGAGCAAAACAGGACTTTGTTCTCACTGTGTTTTGTATGTTACTAGTAACTTGTTTCATTTTGCATGAATGGCTGTTCATTCAGATGTGAAAGTAATCAAAGAATGACAGTTTTTCCTTTCCATCTCTCTTTCCTCCACATCCTCTCCCTCAATCATTTCCTTTCCTCTCTCCCTCTCCCTCTCCCAATCCCCACCTCCCCTCTCTCCCTCCCTCCTCCACTCCACAGGGACCCTGTGGAACCTGTCTTCCTATGAGCCTCTGAAGATGGTGATTATAAACCACGGACTGCAGACTATGACCAACGAGGTCATCATCCCCCACTCAGGCTGGGAGCATGAGCCCAACGAGGACTCCAAGCCCCGCGACGCAGAGTGGACCACCGTCTTCAAGAACACCTCAGGATGTCTGAGGTAATAGCTTGCTTGAGGCCTGCTACACACACTCCTCTTAAAGGTACTTCCACCATAGTGAAGCAGATGAAAGATGGTTAAAGTAACACAGAAGCAGGCCCATGGTACAATGCATATGGACTAGCCAGGCCACCACTCTCACTCCAGCACTTCACCTGAAGAGGCTATTCTTTGAATGAGAGAGGGAGTTAAAAGACGTTTTCCACCAGTGCATCTGATAATGAACGGATAAAAATCGATGGTGTCCTCTGCTGCTGTGGCCATTAGCAGTGCTATTAACAGACCCCTGTACAGACAGCCTCAGGTTCCTTAGAGGCTATCCTAGCAACCTGATGCTTGATTAGGACTTCCGGGCCCACAAGGGCTTATCGCCATGGTTACCTCTCCCATAACGACATTAGCCATTTTAAATCCACGTCCCCTTCTCCCTGAGCTAAAAGGTTGTGAGGGGTTGGAGGGGGGTGGGTTGGGTTGGGTTGATTTGGACCGGAAGAAATTAGTGATCAGATTTATAAAAATCAGATCACAGGTTGGTGAGAGAGCCCTGTTTTCCTCCTCAATTGATTCAAGGCCAGATGACATAATGCACAGTATCTAGTAGATAGATGTATTGCTGCTGTGGATTATTGTGTCCATAAACCTTTTCTCAATCGGAACACATTATCAAACTGTTGGAGTTAATCAGGAGACAAAAGTTAGCTAGTCCAATCTCTAGCTACTGTCACTCAAGACTACTGCCCTCATCTATTCAGCTGGCTCACTGACTGACCTGTTAAAACAGGAAGCCAGTGTTTGAGCCTGAGGGCTATAATATCAGCCAGTTCTCACACACACACACACACACACACACACACACACACACACACACACACACACACACACACACACACACAGGAGATAACAGACAGTGAGTCTGGTCTGGTTGTCTGAGTTAAGCCAATAGTCCTCCAGGAGATAAGGTTGATAAGTGGGATTGTTTGACTAGACCTGCTTTCTATCCCCACCTTTAAACTAGCCACGGCTGCCTCCAACCTCAACTGGCCACCTCTGAGGAAGTAAACAATATGTTGTAACACATGGGACTGCAGGAATTATGCTAGTGGATGGCCTCTCTACTAGTGCTATGGGATGTAGCTCAGTTGATAGAGCATGGCGTTTGCAACGGCAGGGTTGTGGGTTCGATTCCCACAGGGGGTATGAAAAAATAAAAAATCATGTATGCACTAACTGTAAGTCGCTCTGGATAAGAGCGTCTGCTAAATGACTAAAATGTAAATGTAAATGTCCTATAGTGTTTCTAATAAAGATTTAGAAGCTACAATGTCTTTATGTTGGCTATGACTTCTCTAATAGTGTCCATTTTGCCCCAAAAAAGTGTTTGAGGTTAATTTCAGTCAACTTACTAGTGTTTTTTCCTGCTTTCTCTCCTCTTCTGTCGTGACTTGGGCCTTGTGTTTTGGCAGTATGCCACCGTAGTAAAGCACCAAAAGATATCCTCTGTCCCATCTATATTGTATGTTGCCCCAGCCCCATCCAAGCCAACCCACAGTCCCTAATCCACTGCAGTTTAGCTCAGTTTAGCAGTCACTGCAGTCTGTTGGTCAGGATCCAAGTCAACGCTTTCTTCCAACCCCCTGCTGTTTTGGTCAAATGTAACCCATTCCAGATTAACCCATCCTTCTGTTTGTTTTTCTCTCTATCTCCATCTCTCCCTCTCTCTCGCTCTCTCTCTCTACCTGCTGTCGAGTATGTCTCCATGGCAACTGTAACCAATGACACTCTCTGTTGCCTAGTAAGCTGGCCAGAGGCAGATTTGTGAGGAGATCTGCTGATGTATGGGAGATTGTGTTTACTCATGCCTTGACAGAACTGCACATTTGCTGCTTAGGTCACTATAACCTCTATATGCTTTTTAGCATAGTGTTTCCTTTTGGGAGGATGAGGGTGTCAATATTACTGCCTCTCGAAAACTGTGTGTGTGCATGTGTGTCCATGAATGTATGTATGTGTGTGTGAGAGAGACTGAGTTATTAAAGCTGTGCTCTTCTGTAGCTCAGTTGGTAGAGCATGGCTCTTGAAAAGCCAGGACAGTGGGTTCAATTCCCGGGACCACCCATACGTTAAAAAAAAACTATGCACACATGACTAAGTCTCTTTCGATAAAAGTGTCTGCTAAATGGCCTATACAGTGGGTATCATAAGTATTCACCACCCTTGAATTTTTTTCACATTTTGTTGTGTTACAAAGTGTGATTAAAATAGATTTAATTGTGATTTTTTTGGTCATTGATCTACACAAATACTCCATAATGTCAAAGTGAAAATACATTTCTACAAAGTTTTACAAATTAATACAAATTCTATAACTAAAATATAGTCGTTGCATAAGTATTCACCCCTTTGTTTAGGCAAGCCTAAATTAGTTCAGGAGTCAAATTTGGCTTAACAAATCACATAATAATTTACCAGGACGTACTCTGTGTGAAATAATAGGGGTTGACATGATTTTTGAATGACTACCTCTTCCTCTGTTCCCCATAAATCTGTAAGGTCCCTCAGTCAGGTATTGAATTTCAACCACAGATTCAACTGCAAAGACCAGGGAACTTTTCAAAAGCCTCCTAAAGAAGGGCAGTGATTGGTAGATTGGTAACAATAACAAATCAGACATTGAATATATCTTTAAGCATGGTCAAGTTAATAATTATGCTGTGGATGATGTATTAAACCACCCAGACACATCAAAGATACAGTCGTCCTTCTTAACTGATCTGCAGGACAGGAAGGAAACTGCTCAGGGATGTCACCATGAGACCATTGGTGATTTTAAAACAATTCAATGGCTATGATGGGAGAAAACTGAGGATGGATCAACAACATTGTAGTGACTCCACAGTAATTACCAAAACGACAGAGTAAAAATAATAATACAAATATACAGAATATGGCAAAGGAATAAACGTTTTGCCCTAAATGCAAAGCCTTATGTTTGGGGCAAAACCAACACAACACATCACCTAGTAACTGCCTCCTTATTTTCAAGCGTGGTGGTGGATGCATCATGGTATGGGTATGCTTGACGTAGGCAAAGATTGGGGGGGGGGGGGGGTTCAGGATGAAAAGAAACGGGATGGAGCTAAGCACAGGCAAAATCCTAGAGGAAAACCTGCTTCAGTCTGCTTTATTACACCAGACACTGGGAGAGGAATTCACCTTTCAGCAGGACACTAAACTAAAACACAAGGCCAAATCTACACTGGAGTTACTTACCAAGAAGACAGTGAATGTTCCTGAGTGGCCAAGTTACAGTTTTGACTTAAATCTGCTTGAAAATCTATGGCAAGACTTGAACATATCTGTCTAGCCATGATCCCCAAAACCTTGACAGAGCTTGAATACTTTTGAAAAGAATAATGCGCAAATATTGGACAATCCAGGTGTGCCAAAGCTCTTAGAGACTTACCCAGAAAGCTGTAATAGCTGCCAAAGGTGTTTCTAACATGTATTGACTCAGTGGGGGTGAATACTTATTTAATCAAGGTACAGTATATTAGTGTTTTATTTTTCATTCATCTTTAAAATATATATACTTTTTCTTCCACCTTGACATTAGAGTATTTTGTGTAGATCATTGAAGAAAATGACATTTAAATCCATTTGAATCCCTCTCTGAAACACAATAAAATTTGAAGAAATCCAAGGGGGGTGAATACTTATGATACCCACTGTATTTTTATGTGTTATGACCTTGTGATAAGGGACATGGTGGTGTCAGAGGTCAGAACACTTCATCAGTCAACACCAGGGAGGCTGTCTCTCTCTAACCCACTCCCAGAGGACATCATATTGTCCCTTTATGGCCACATGTCACCATGACTAACCTCTGAGACCGGGCAGTTGATATACGGGCCACACAATGGACACACACACTCTCTCACACACCCTCACACACCCTCACACACACAGATTGACATTGAAACACACACACATGCACAAATTGACACCCACAACAGATGTACTTTCTAGAAAAAGTGACAATAAAATGCCTGCCAATAAATAAAAAAATCATCCCGCTTTGTCTGTCGGCCCAAACACACACCTACTGTACACACACACAAACACACACACAAACACACACACATGCACTCTCCCATCAAATCAATCCCTGTTGGATGCACCTTGGTGGCCGTTATGGGTGGAAGTGATTTCTCTGGGCCAAAAGGGATGTTTTATGACTTGGGAATAGAGGCCCAGATGGTCTGCACTGTCTGCCTCTCTACCATAGATTCGTTTTAATTAGCCCAAAGTGTGTAATGGCCAAGGCTCTACCTGAGATTAATGGAGTCTGCCCCAGAGACTGATTCCCCCTTTGTGTGTGTGTGGGAGGGGGGGGGGGGGTCTGAAAGAGAGGGTCTGTATGCACACATTTGTGTTTGTAAGTGTATGTGTGTGCACATGTACATATATCCTGTTTGAGTGTGTGCATGTATGAGAGTGTGCAAGTGTGAATGTGTGTGTGTGTGTGTCATGCTGGCAGGACTCAAGGCTTTGACTGCCCCCCTCAACCCCGCTAGAGTGGTGGCAGGCATCCTCCTCCAGGACTTGCTGGGTGGTTGGTAATGCGATTATATGGCACGGAAAGGAAACCTTCTTGAATGAAGTCCCCAGTGAGCCTGGCAGCTCCTGCTCTCTCTCCACAACTAAACTCTCAGAAAAGGCCTGCAGGCTGTATTCACTCAAACTACACTGAACAAAAATATAAACCAACATGTAAAGTGTTGGTCCCATGTTTCATGAGCTGAAATAAAAGATCCCAGAAATTGTCCATATGCACAAAAAACGTATTTCTCTCAAACTTTGTGCACAAATTTGTTTACATCCCTGTTAGTGAGCATTTCTTCTTTGCCAAGATAATCCATCCACCTGACAGATGTGGCATATCAAGAAGCTGATTAAACAGAATGATCATTACACAGGTGCACCTTGTGCTGGGGACAATAAAAGACCTCTCTAAAATGTGCGGTTTTGTCACACAACACAATGCCACAGATGTCTCAAGTTTTGAGGGAGCGCACAATTGGCATGCTTACTGCAGGAATGTCCACCAGAACTGTTGCCAGAGAATTGAATATTGATTTCTCTACCATAAGCCGCCTCCAACGTTGTTTTAGAGAAATTGGCAGTACGTCCAACCGGCCTCACAACCACAGACCACGTGTATGGCCTTCGTGTGGGCGAGCGGTTTGCTGACGTCAATGAGTGCGCCATGGTGGCGGTGGGGTTATGGTATGGGCAGGCATAAGCTACTGACAACGAAAACAATTGCATTTTATCAATTGCAATTTGAATGCACAGAGATACCGTGATAAGATCCTGAGACCCATTGTCTTGACATTCATCCGCCGCCATCACCTCATGTTTTAGCATGATAATGCATTGCCCCATGTCACAAGGATCTGTGCACAATTCCTGGAAGCTGAAAATGTCCCAGTTCTTCCATGGCCTGCATACTCACCACACATGTCACCCATTGAGCATGTTTGGGATGCTCTGGATCGACGTGTACGGCAGTGTGTTCCAGTTCCCAACAATATCCAGCAACTTCGCAAAGCCATTGAAGAGGAATGGGACAACATTCCACAGGCCACAATCAACAGCCTGATCAACTCTATGCGAAGGAGATGTGTCGCACTGCATGAGGCAAATGGTGCCCACACCAGATACTGACTGGTTTTCTGATCCACGCCCCTACTTTTTTTTTAAAGGTATCTGTGACCAACCGATGCAAATCTGTATTCCCAGTGATGTGAAATCCATAGATTAAGGCCTAATGAATTTATTTTAATTGACTGATTTTCTTATATGAACTGTAACTCAGTAAAATCTTTGATGTTGTTTGCAAGTCAACCTAGCTGTTTATATTCTTGATGCTTTTTAATGAAATGCTTTTGGTCTTTAAAAAATGAAGGTTGTGTTTTCTGTGTCTCTGACCAGTGTATATCTGTCTCTTTAACCACCCTGTCTCTCTGCCTTCTCTACCCCAGGAATGTGAGTTCGGACGGGGCCGAGGCGAGGCGCAGACTAAGGGAGTGTGAGGGGCTTGTGGATGCTCTGCTGCACGCCCTGCAGTCAGCTGTGGGCAAGAAAGACATGGACAACAAGGTGAGCCTCCAAACCGACCGACATTACTGTATCTGCATTGCCAATATGTCATATGTTCATTGGAGACACTTGATACCTTGGATGCAGATCTCTTAACTGCTGAGTTTTGCTGTTCTCTAGCTAGTTTTCTAGCAAATAACCAGTCCCTTTCCATATCATATTGCTTGATCAATCTGTATAGGTTGAGCTGACATTGTCCCTCCATCTACATCTATCCCCCCCACCAGTCTGTGGAGAACTGTGTGTGTATCATGAGGAACCTGTCCTACCACGTTCACAAAGAGATCCCAGGGGCCGAGAAGTTCACAGACCCGTCCGTTCTGCATGCCCCGGGCTCTGCGGGCCCTCAGAGGAAGAAGAAGGATGATGCAGGCTGCTTTGGAGGGAAGAAGGCCAAAGGTGAGAGGACAACACAGAGGGAGACTGGAGAGACATAGGCCCAGTCCCAAGAAATAGGCCCAGTCCCAAAATATAGGCCCAGTCCCAAAACGTAGGCCCAGTCCCAAAACGTAGGCCCAGCTTCAAAACGTAGGCCCAGTCCCAGAACGTAGGCCCTGTCCCCAAACGTAGGCCCAGCTTCAAAATGTAGGCCCAGTCCCAAAACGTAGACCCAGTCCCAAAATGAGTCTCTTCCGTGGACCGCCAGTGACGGCTGATCTGTAGGAAGCACCTATTAACAACAACACAGAAAAAGTTATCACTTTTCTCCTTATCTGGCATTCAGTTACAATGGAATCTAAATCTGTATGCTATTTGCAAAATGGGCCATGTCAGTTTGTATAGTTAACTGTATGTATCCAGGCTTATCATACACTATTTCAGCTCTTTAGGGCTCTATTTACCTACTTTAGCCCAGAGCTTTTTCCCCCTAGACAGTTACAGTATTTAGTATAGGCTACCCCTGGTCCTAGACATATACAGTATGTAATTAGTATAGGCTACCTCTCAGTCACTGGCTGACTAATGGCTGAACAACAAGCAGAGCTCCCTCTCCCACAACAAATAATGACTGAAATGAATCACTTAGCCAATGAGGTGAGACCCAATTTCACTGACCTTTCACCCCTCAGGGTCCAGAGGGGGACGCCACTGATTTAGAGGCTAAGAAAGCACTGGGGGATGTGTCTAGAAGTGTGTGTGTTTACAGATGAATATTATAGATGGCAATCTCAAGCGAATTAGCCAGGCGGCTGCTATTGTACATAGCAGTTAATGAGGTGTGTTTAGCCTTCGCAGGCCCTGGAGGTGTACTTTGAAGGAGAGATGGCCTATATTAAAAAAGCTAAACACGTGCGGGAAGGGGAGTCAGATCTTTCAGGAGAGCTGTTTAGACAACACAGTCTTTCCTAGCAATTTGTTACATGAGATAAACCCTCTAAATTACCCCCCCCCGAATTCTGACACTTGCCGTTAGAGCCATTACCATGAACAGACGCTTCAGGCCCAACTTATTTAGTGAATGCTAATGGTTTCTTTTTGCATTTCTCTTTTTATTCTTGATTCCTATATTCCTGTGCTGTTATGTGTGGCTGGCTTAGTGCCTTGTGTGGCAGTGACTGTCCCTCTCTCTCCTTGTTTGTGGCACTACAGTGTGGTGATACACACACAACATTGGTTTTACTAAGTGGGAACCAAAGAATGTAGTCCCATCCAAAATCCTATTTTCTCTAACCCTAACCTTAACCCCTGACCCTAAAACTAAACCAAACCCTAACTCCTAATCCTAATTCTAACCCTAATTGTAACCCTAAACTTAACCCCTAAACCTAAAATAGCATTTTTCCTTTTGGGTACCGGCGAAATGTCCCCAAATGTTCCTTATTTTACTTCTGAGGACTTTTGGAACACAAAATGCATAGTAAAGTTAGACCATACACACACTTTTTTCTTTAATGAGCCGAGCACACTGACACCACAGCCTCTTTGAACACTGTCCCAAGAAAATAACTGTGGAGTGCTAATGGATTTACACCCTGCTTGTCTCCTTTAAACCTATGTACTTGTTTTGTTCCTTATATTCTCCCATTCTCTGTCTTGCTCTCTTTCTTTCCCTCTGCCTCTTAGTACTGAGCGATTAAAACCAGTTAAATGTAACTAAATGTAATAGAAAATGTAATCTACGTAATCCCCAAAAGTAATTATTTATCATGAGAGGGCCATAAACAATGAGTAGTAATGCGGCTTTACTCCAAGAAAGGTTAAAATCTCACCTTTCTGTTAATTTTTTTGATAAATTGCTGAGGTGTAGTCACTTTTGATGGCAAGTCAAAGTACACAGTACAAATATGATACAATTATGAAATATCTTATGAAGTATTTCCTTTTCAACAAAACTGTGTGAATAAGGTTTGAAATGGCTTGTATGCTTTCCAAATATAATATAATCAAATTATAAAATGACTAACTATAAGATTTCACCTTCCTTATAACTGTAAAATACATATTAGTATGTTTAGTGTTAGAGAGAATTAACATATTTTCTAAAGGTCTCTCGATCAAAACGTCTGCCCCCATCGCTGTGAATGTACAGTGGGGGAAAAAAAATATTTAGTCAGCCACCAATTGTGCAAGTTCTCCCACTTAAAAAGATGAGAGAGGCCTGTAATTTTCATCATAGGTACACGTCAACTATGACAGACAAAATGAGAAAAAAAAATCCAGAAAATCACATTGTAGGATTTTAATGAATTTATTTGCAAATTATGGTGGAAAATAAGTATTTGGTCAATAACAAAAGTTTCTCAATACTTTGTTATATACCCTTTGTTGGCAAAGTCTTCACAAGGTTTTCACACACTGTTGCTGGTATTTTGGCCCATTCCTCCATGCAGATCTCCTCTAGAGCAGTGATGTTTTGGGGCTGTCGCTGGGCAACACGGACTTTCAACTCCCTCCAAAGATTTTCTATGGGGTTGAGATCTGGAGACTGGCTAGGCCACTCCAGGACCTTGAAATGCTTCTTACGAAGCCACTCCTTCGTTGCCCGGGCGGTGTGTTTGGGATCATTGTCATGCTGAAAGACCCAGCCACGTTTCATCTTCAATGCCCTTGCTGATGGAAGGAGGTTTTCACTCAAAATCTCACGATACATGGCCCCATTCATTCTTTCCTTTACACGGATCAGTCGTCCTGGTCCCTTTGCAGAAAAACAGCCCCAAAGCATGATGTTTCCACCCCCATGCTTCACAGTAGGTATAGTGTTCTTTGGATGCAACTCAGCATTCTTTGTCCTTCCAAACACGACGAGTTGAGTTTTTACCAAAAAGTTCTATTTTGGTTTCATCTGACCATATGACATTCTCCCAATCCTCTTCTGGATCATCCAAATGCACTCTAGCAAACTTCAGACGGGCCTGGACATGTACTGGCTTAAGCAGGGGGACACGTCTGGCACTGCAGGATTTGAGTCCCTGGCGGCGTAGTGTGTTACTGATGGTAGGCTTTGTTACTTTGGTCCCAGCTCTCTGCAGGTCATTCACTAGGTCCCCCCGTGTGGTTCTGGGATTTTTGCTCACCGTTCTTGTGATCATTTTGACCCCACGGGGTGAGATCTTGCGTGGAGCCCCAGATCGAGGGAGATTATCAGTGGTCTTGTATGTCTTCCATTTCCTAATAATTGCTCCCACAGTTGATTTATTCAAACCAAGCTGCTTACCTATTGCATATTCAGTCTTCCCAGCCTGGTGCAAGTCTACAATTTTGTTTCTGGTGTCCTTTGACAGCTCTTTGGTCTTGGCCATAGTGGAGTTTGGAGTGTGACTGTTTGAGGTTGTGGACAGGTGTCTTTTATACGGATAACAAGTTCAAACAGGTGCCATTAATACAGGTAACGAGTGGAGGACAGAGGAGCCTCTTAAAGAAGAAGTTACAGGTCTGTGAGAGCCAGAAATCTTGCTTGTTTGTAGGTGACCAAATACTTATTTTCCACCATAATTTGCAAATCAATTCATTCAAAATCCTACAATGTGATTTTCTGGATTTTTTTCTCTCATTTTGTCTGTCATAGTTGACGTGTACCTATGATGAAAATTACAGGCCTCTCATCTTTTTAAGTGGGAGAACTTGCACAATTGGTGGCTGACTAAATACTTTTTCCCCCCACTGTATCACAGAACTTTAGCTTGGCTTCCTGAACTCGTTAGGAACTCATAGTCCATATATGACAAACAGAAAGGGATTTTTGTTTAAAATCTATGAATTCTTTTAGATTACTGGCTATAAATCGATTTCATGTGCTACAGTGACGAAACTACTCTTCTTTGCGCTATGATGTAAGGATTGCATGCATATATGTTGTTAGTGGCTGTGACATAGGGTTCAGCCAGGAGTTGATGGAAAGTCGGAAAATCGCATGAAAGGGTAGGAAGGACATCCCAGCTTCTAATGGTGTCAGATGTCACATCCTGCTTCACACAGGCAAAAGAGACATTCTCACTGTGTCCGTGGGAATAAGGGCTAGCACTCAATACGAGCCATTACGATCTACGGTGTCCACAGATCGATTTATAAGTGAAAATGTTTAGTCGGAACTAGTACCAGAACCACGCAGGTCCCCGAAATAGGGGACTTTACATCTAAGAGAAATCAAGTAATTCATGAGAGAAATCAATTCAAGAATGATTTGGTACGCTGGGCAAAAGGGAGTTGTAGTTTTCATTAAGCAAATATTCAACCTAGTTGAGTGCAGAAACGTGGTAATTAACTACAATGACCCTAATCCTTTGCGCCTGTTTTCAGGCAGAAATGGACACACTTTTACACCTGCTACGTTAAGTTAGATACACACAGACCGCATAGACCGCATGAGAGAGGAATGTACACAACACAACTACAAGAGGGAGGGATAGAGACAGTTTGTGAAAGTATGCCTTATCTTCTTAGAAGAACAATTAAAATGAGTACAGAGATTACGTCTGGCTGTTTGGCTGCTACTGCTTGAACAGAGATGAGAAGGAATTAAAAATAATAAAGTAATCAAATAAAAACTAAGTAATATACACAACTGAAATATTGTATTATTTCATAGTAATTTCCTATTTTTCTATTCATGTCTACCCAATGTGGACCTGACAGAGACAAGGGAATATTTTCTATGTTTTGGCAATTGAATGTTCACTATTTTTGGCTTTGGAACTTCCATTAAAAAGCTCAAAAATAAGTGTAGTGTCATTATTTAATAATGCATTTAATGTAAAAAAAAATAATTGAAACCGAAATCGGAAACTATGATCATTTTGTAATACTCTGACCGAAACTGAACTGACCTAGAAAAGCACTAATCACTCAGCACTACTGCCTCTCTCTCTCTCTCTCTCTCTCTCTCTCTCTCTCTCTCTCTCTCTCTCTCTCTCTCTCTCTCTCTCGCTCTCTCTCTCTCTCAAATGTACAGCCCAAGTTGACTTTAAACTGAAGTGTTTACTTGTTATTGTCACCTCTAATCCTCACAACCTATTTTATCTTTTACTCTTCTCTTCTCCCTGCTTGTGTTTTTGGCATTGCTGCTGCTTCCTTGGCTAACTATAGAGGAATGGTTTAATCAAGGTGAGTGTCCCCATGTCCTGTTTCAGCACACCCTCTCACCCCTGCCCTTATAGCTACTGTAGCATTAGTAGTTTGGGTCTCCTCCAAAAATGAAAAGATTGAAGGACTTCATTTGTTTCTCCTCTTCATTTGCTGCACTCTTACTGTAGGTCTACCTCTTCCGTCATGCCCCCAAACATCAAAGTGTTAGTAATCCAAACCTAGCCTAATCTCGGGGGTAGAGGTAGGGGAGAGCCAGGTAAGACGAATAAGTTTGGGTAGTGAAAAATAACCTGGGCTCTAGTTTTTAGTCCCAGCTTTAGACTGCAGTGCAGTTTCCCCTCAGCCTGCTGGTAAGTTTGAAACGTTAAAGGTTGAATCTCACATAGTGACATAGGCATGTCCCCTCCCTGTTGAGGATACGGATGGAGAGAGGTTCATTAGCTGGCCCTTCTGTAGTCACCTGGCTCCATTACCCTCCCTGCATTATTAAAGGGGGTTCCCACCTGCCATCCCTGGGAAGGAGTGTAGCTCAGTTGGTAGAGCATGGCGTTTGCAACGCCAGGGTTGTAGGTTCGTTTCCCACGGGGGGCCAGTATGAAAAATGTATGCACTCACTAACTGTAAGTCGCTCTGGATAAGAGCATCTGCTAAATTACTAAAATGTAAATCTAAAATGAAGGGCTGCTACTAGACTTGTGTGTGCAGTGATGCATCTTTCTGTGCGTGCGTGTGTGTGTGTTCATCTGCTTGCACGTGCGCTTGTGTGTGGTCCTGCAGTGGTCTCTAGGACATTGTCAGTTAACTCTGTCAGGTTGTCTCTGAATGTGACATTTACATATGTTCTCTCTGGCTCTATCCAGCCAGAAAAAACGGCGAGAATGACAAAAACTACGACACTCTGGATCTACCCAAGCGCACAGAACCCACAAAAGGTAGGCTTGTTCTGTCAATGAGGTTCACTTATTACAACTTCAACCTGTCACTCCTTTTCTTGTCACTGAAAGGGAGAATATCCCAAATCCATGACTGCCATTGACTTTCTATCAAATGTTATTTAAAGAGAAATGACCAAATTATCTTTGTTTTGACAAAGATGCTACCAAGAAAATAAATTGGGTTGTCGTGGATGGTTTGTTGTGACTCGAAGGATGTCAAGTGTTGTGCTTGCTTACACGTGGTAGAGTGGCGTAGGGAGCCATTTCGCTTTTGTTACTTCTTAAATCGGCACCTTGACAGTTGACTGCTGCTGATTTGATGTCGCTAGCTAGGTTGATATGATAACAAAGCTTTGGCTAGCAGAGCTCCCAGGCTTTTTGTAAAGCACTCCCAAGCATTTGAGCTGCTTTGATTGGAATCAGCTCCTTTACATGAGAGTTGGTTAGCAGCCAATGTATCATGTTCTGTAGCCTATGAGTTTCAGGGACACAACTAGTTACAAGGCCAGATAGTCCCCTCCTATTTCAGCAGTGTTGGAACAGTGTTGATGGGTGTAAATGGCTGATTCTGGGTTCAGGCAGACAGACAGGCAGACAGCTATTGGCCAGCAGCAGATTGGAATGGGATGAGATTGGATTTGATGGGGTAGATGGTGGGTGGGTTGTGGGTTGTAGATGGTGTAAGCAAATGGGTCACCTGGGCCTGTGAGGTTTAGCAGCTCTGTCAGAAGTGAGTCTCCTCCAGCCTCTCCAAGCCTCTCTACTGTCAAACCTGGCTAGGATCAGCCCAGCCCACTACAGATACAGAACCTGAGAGGACCAACAGACAGGGGACTGTTGCAGTACCCTGTAGCTGAGCTAGCACCAGACTCAAAGGTTCATCTTCCCAAGTCTTTATATGTCTATAGGCCTACTTTAAGAGTCAACTCATATACTCTAAGCAATGTCTTATCTAAATTATTTACTTATATCTTGTACTGCTTATTTCTAATACACTTGTTATTACACAATGTTATTCCATGATGAGGCGGTTTTCTGTACTGCTGTACTGTTCTACCATCTGAAGCTTTTGATACAATAAATATAGGTTGTTTACTGTTGTACTGTTCCTTCTACTGATTTAATGAGTACTTGTCTTGTGTCTCTGTGCAGAAACGTTTCCATCTTCGCCCTTTTTTCCTCGCCTTTCTAAAGAATAAACACCTCAACCGGTTGCTACAGTCAAACAACATTGGCATGCAGCCACCACAACAAATCTCTTTCTGCTTTGCCTGTGTGTGTGTGTGTGTGTGTGTGTGCGCGTGCGCACGTGTGTTTTTCTGTCTGCATATAGCAGTTGAGAGAAGTGTGTGTGTGTGTGTGTGTTGTGGGCTGAGGTATTCACACATCAGCGCCTTCATCATATCTAATGGCAACCACTCAGTCAATAGCACTTCCTGTATGGCTGCAATGAGCCACATTAGCAAGCTAAAGTGGGCCTCTTATTAAACTAGATTACAATTAATTGCGGTGCTTTACGGAGGTAAGCCGATTCTGCCTCCTTTTTATCGCTCTAAAATTAAGTAAAGCAGAAGAGCTGTGAGGAGAATAATTAGCATGTTCCATAGGCTGCACTCACTGGAAGCGCTAGGCACGCTAGGCTAGCTACAACACAGGCTGCACTCACTGGAAGCGCTAGGCACGCTAGGCTAGCTACAACACAGGCTGCACTCACTGGAAGTGCTAGGCACGCTAGGCTAGCTACAACACAGGCTGCACTCACTGGAAGCGCTAGGCACGCTAGGCTAGCTACAACACAGGCTGTGCTCACTGGAAGCGCTAGGCACCCTAGGCTAGCTACAACGCAGGCTGCACTCACTGGAAGCGCTAGGCACGCTAGGCTAGCTGCAACACAGGCTGCACTCACTGGAAGCGCTAGGCACGCTAGGCTAGCTGCAACACAGGCTGCACTCACTACATTTACATTTACGTCATTTAGCAGACGCTCTTATCCAGAGCGACATACAAATAGGTGCATTCACCTTATAGCCAGTGGGATAACCACTTTACAAATTTTTATTTTTTTATTATTTTTATTTTTATTTTATTTTTTTTGGGGGGGGGGGGTAGAAGGATTACTTTATCCTATCCCAGGTATTCCTTAAAGAGGTGGGGTTTCAAATGTCTCCGGAAGGTGGTGAGTGACTCCGCTGTCCTGGCGTCGTGAGGGAGCTTGTTCCACCATTGGGGTGCCAGAGCAGCGAACAGTTTTGACTGGGCTGAGCGGGAACTATGCTTCCGCAGAGGTAGGGGAGCCAGCAGGCCAGAGGTGGATGAACGCAGTGCCCTCGTTTGGGTGTAGGGACTGATCAGAGCCTGAAGGTACGGAGGTGCCGTTCCCCTCACAGCTCCATAGGCAAGCACCATGGTCTTGTAGCAGATGCGAGCTTCAACTGGAAGCCAGTGGAGTGTGCGGAGGAGCGGGGTGACGTGAGAGAACTTGGGAAGGTTGAACACCAGACGGGCTGCGGCATTCTGGATGAGTTGTAGGGGTTTAATGGCACAGGCAGGGAGCCCAGCCAACAGCGAGTTGCATACAGAATGGCGCAGCCCGTCTGGTGTTCAACCTTCCCAAGTTCTCTCACGTCACCCCGCTCCTCCGCACACTCCCGCTCCTGCATACACTAGAAAGTAGCAATTGGCTAGCTGCAATTTGCTAAAGTTTCAATGGCACACAATCAGAAATAATCCCCCCTCTTGTCTTGCGTTTTTACTTCTGAGAGACTACTGCTGTGTTTTCATCTAGGGATATAGTGTTGAGATGATGCATGTTTGGGAGAGCGGTTGTATTTCACGCATGAGGATGAATCCATTATTTATTTTTGTTTACCTGTACTACATACAGTACCAGTCAAAAGTTTGGACACACTTACATTCATGGGTTTTTCTTTATTTGTAGAATAATAGCGAAGACATCAAATCTATGAAATTACACATATGGAATAATGAAGTAACCAAAAAAGTGTTAAACAAATCAAAATATATTTTATATTTGAGATTCTTCAAATAGCCACCCTTTTCCTTGATGACAGCTTTGCACACTACTTGGATTATTGCTCAACTGGATTAATCATCTTGTAGTATCTAGTAGGATGGCAGCAGTAGTCTACCCATGATAATTCAAATAGGATATTACATTTTTAAAAAAATGCCATTTAGCAGACGCTTTTATCCAAAGTGTGCATACATTTTTACGTATGGATGGTCCCGGGGATCGAACCCACTACCCTGGCGTTACAAGCGCCATGCTCTACCAAATGAGCTACAGAGGACCACATTCACCTACACTGTTTATTTGTCTATGTTAATCCTGTGTACTGTGGTTGTACTTTCACTTACAGTACATGTTTGTTTATCTATGTAAATTAAGTGTATTTTCCCCTTGTTTATTTTAGAGAATGTGGGGATAGGGCAGCTCTTCTCCCCAAATACACTGGCAGAGCTGAAATAACAGGGAGGTATTTGTGGGAGATTCCATGTTTATTTCAACCCTGATCTGTTGTCAAATGGAGAGAGTTCACAGTCTGTCCACATCACTTACAGACAGGCAGAAGTCTATAATTACGATAATACCCAGCATGAGATATAGGTCTCCAGCAGTGTATTGAAACACACACACACTAGTAGTGATTGGTCTGCACCCGGGTGAGGATGTAGAGGAAGACGTTATGGACATGAATCATTTCAGGGACGCCATTTTGAATTCACTATGAGTTTGTTATTCTGTGTATAACTAATTGTCCCTGCCTGATTGCACTATAAAGAGGTGCTGTTGATAGAACATAGATCATTAAAGGACTTCCAAAGTTCCTGTTATTGCATTATTCATGGAACCTGAGAGGAGAACAGAGGCGCTGGAACAAAAGTAATTAAGGACTGAAAAAAGAAAGCATTTCATTAGGGAGAGAGAGAGTGTGTCAGCCAACAAGATGATGGAACACTCACCCCAACGTTAATTGAAACGGCACAACGTTAAACCTTTTGCTTTGAGGAAAGGTCATGTACGGAGTGTGTGTGTGTGTGTGTCAGACAGCAGAGGGAAATCGCTTCAAAAGAAAAACTGTTTTCTTTGGTTTGTTTTTTCAGTACCGGATGTGTGGGGAGAGAGAGAGGCAGCACAGTGGAATGATGCGGTTTTGAAAAAGCAGAAACAGAAGTAGGGAGTGAGAGTCCTGGGAGAAGAGAAGCCACAGATTAATCTATTTTGTTTTCAATTTTTTACGCAGCACATTCTTTTTTTTATTTTTATCTCTTACTCTATCTCAGGCCATCCCCACTCACACTACTATGTTTTCTCTAGGAACCCACACTGTGAGAGCTAGGGTTTAATAGCGGGAAACGGGTTACTGAGATTTACAGAGAGTTCCCGCCCAAACTCAGTCCTGTTTCCCGGGATAAATAACTGAGAAACCAATCAATTATAATACATTATTTATATTAATAGCATGACGTGAAATGGAACTGTTAAATTATATGCAATGTGTTAATCTGGCTTCAATGCTCTATGCTCCTTCTATGCTCTGCTATCTGCATGATCAATCATCAATGCTCAGGGTGGGGACAGACGGCGCATCTCAGTATGGAGCCCAGTTCACAATGCATGCATCATCTCATCAGCTGGTAGCTTTTTTTCTTGTGACAGGTGCATTTGCTGCAGCATAGCCTATGCTAGAGTAATATTAGGACTAATATATCTGAATGTGCGTCTAATTTACACATCTCCATTTGGCTTTCAGGTCACCTTTTTTAAATTCATTTTTTATATATGATTTTCTTTTATTACAGCTGCAGCGTTTTAAAACAGCCTATCACTCGAAAATCGTTGCTTTAAATCAGTGTGCACGCAAGCACTCTCTCTCTCTCCATCATTTCCATTCAAATTGCATCCAAAATACATACTCCTACTATTGATATACAGTGCCTTCAGAAACTATTCACACCCCTTGAATTTTTCCACATTTTGTTGTGTTACAGCCTGAATACAAAAAATATTAAATTGAGATTTTGTGTCACTGGCCTACACACAATACTCCATAATGTCAAAGTGGAATGATGTTTTTAGAAAATTTTATAAATTAATTAAAAATTAAAAGCTGAAATGTCTTGAGTCAATTATTCAACCCCTTTGTTTTGACAAGCCTAAAGAAGTTCAGGAGTAAAAAAAATCTTAACAACTCACATAATAAATTGCATGGAATAATAGTGTTTAACATGATTTTTGAATGAATACCTCTTCTCTGTACTCCACACATAGAATTACCTGTAAATTCCTTCAGTTGAGCAGTGAATTTCAAACACATTCAACCACAAAGACCAGGGAGTTGTTTTTATAATGCCTCGCAAAGAAGGGCACATATTGGTAGATGAAAAAATATATACAAAAATAATAGCAGACACTGAATATCCCTTTGAGCATGGTGAAGTTATTAATTACACTTTGAATGGTGTATCAATGCACCCAGTCACTACAAAGATACAGGCGTTATTTCTCATCTCTTCCCAAGACACAAATATTGGTCTGTCGCTCCTCTCCCCATCCTTCCCTCCGCCTCGTCCTCTCCTTCTGCTGTTAGATTTCACAGAATGGCGAGACTTTAATTGGTCAGGGCCAGTGCCAAACACCTCCTGTCACCTCACACATGCACACACACACCTCACACTCACAGCAACCGTCAGATAAAACATGTATGTCTGACTTAGCCTAGCTGCTAGGAAACACTAGGAGCTGTCTCTCATTCACTGTCATTAGATGGGCCTGCCATGTGAATGTACATTCATGTCACGTAGAATAGTATAACAACATAAACTTCCTGTCTGT